CCCCTCCCCGCCTCCTGAATACAGCGCACAAATTGAATGTCCCAATCGCGGCACACATTGCCGTGTCGCTGTTCTCGCATAGCCCGCCACGCTTCTCCGCACATGCAGGTGCCATTCTCATCGAGCTGCCGTCGAAAGGGTTGTTGATCGGGAGATGGTCGTACTGGAACGCCTTGGCGAGCACGTCCTGGACTGCTGACTGTGGGCCTGGCATCACAAATTCCTTCTTCAAGGGGGACTCCAAATCGCCAACTGCAGTGCCAGCCGACCATATATTGTGTCGCTGCATTGCCGCCATTGTCGACGCCGCTGCGCCGCCCTTGAGATTTTGGATTCGCCGACGTCGAGATGGCAGGGCACCTGCCTCATGTGCCTCGCAAACTTCAACAAAAGTACCAGCAGCACCATCAATCGCAGCGTTCTCAACATCTGCCATCGCCTGGAAAGTCTGCTTCAGCACAGCTAGAATGCTCTTCCATAAGCCAGAGAGCCGTCGAATACGATCTGAGCAAGACTCGCCCGCGATGGCCGGTGCATGCACGTGGTCACCGACCGATAGGAAAATATCATACGCCCTCACGCGCCGCCTCTTCGAATATCTCGCCAAATGCGCCACTGGATTGTACGAGGACTGGCCACCATCATCACGACGTCGTTTCTTCCGTGCCAGTTTGCACGTCAACTTGATTTTCCCCAAGCTTTTCATGAACAAGTTCAACCCATTCTGTTTCGGTGCCAAGTCTCTCATCAAAGCAGTTCGCTTTCGCTCCCATTCTTGCCTGACCGACTTCGGATATGTCAATTGGGCCAGCGTCTGTCGCCTCAGCGCTCGCCCGCGCTTGCGGGGCCGAGTCTCCTGCCCCAATATGTGTTTGCGCTCGCATTTGCTAGCAGTCACTCGTAGAGCAGCAATGTGGCCCCTCAAAGAATGGCACGCATTTGACGCTGTCCCGTGATCGTCGCTCAGTAATCGGTCCACCCACACTTTGGTATAATATGACTCCACGCATGCGTTGCGTTGCTCCCACTTCGCTTTCAATCGTTCCAACGTCGGCCTCAACCTTGGTTGATCGCACGCAGGCTCGCCAACCAAAAGGACAAACTGGGGCGCTGTGAAATACCGTACAAGCCTGCGGTGTGCACCTGACGCGCCTAGCATCACTCGTAAAGCTGCCAAGTATTTGCCATCTACAGTAAGATCCACGCCTCGCCATGCGGGTGCGTCATAATTCCGAACCAAGGCCGAAAATTATCTCTGCACTTGTTTGCCCCGAGAGCGAGAAACAAATCCCAAGTTCGCCAGTATTGCTTTTTCCCGAAGTCGATTCGTGTCTACATGCTCCTCGGTCCTGCCGCGCGGCGCCGCACATATGGCACCATGGCACGTCGTGGCAGCGTCGTCGGCAGAGAAAGCAGAAGTAAGATAATGCTGCAGGGGAGAGCTCAACGCCATGGCAGCTCGAATTGCGTTCCCCTCTACGTCGCTCCGCATGAACGACATCGACTGGGACGCCTTGATCATCAACTTCGCTTTCCGCATGTCGGAGTCGCAAACATTCTCACCAACCGCTTCCAACAGCGCCTCTGCATCTGCCGTCCTATTGGCAGGGTAGCACATTGAAAAAGCCCTCAGTAGTAAGTCGTGTTGTTTTCTGCCCCTGTATACCACGCTCGCAGCCTTCTCGAACCCCTTCCAGCGATGCAACAGTGGCACCCCCATGTTAGCACATACTGAAAGTCTGCAAGCGCTCACGACCATTCTCTCGGCAGCCGCGGGCGACGCGCACGAGAGAGGGCAACGAGCTGGTCCTAAGCAGTAGTGCCTGATCCTCGTGTCCTGCCAGTCGCCGTTGTCGGCGGCAAGGATGAACGCCTCGTCCTCGGCCGCGAGGTCGAGCGCGGGCCTGGGTGCGGCCAGCACGGCCGCCGTATGCGACCGCCAACGATCTGCCCCGGGCGGCAACTCTTCCACTCTGATAAACTCGAAACCTTGGGCGGAGCTGATGATCTTAGCCACGTTATCCGAGAACGCCTTGGCCGCCCTTCCAGATTGAAGAATGCGCGCCATGCGAACCAGCGCGCTGGGGAGCCCGTGAACGTCATACATCGGTTTCATGGCCAATACTGCTGAGTGCCCCGTACAATTCATTATCAACATTGTTGTCGCATTGCCACCGACAGCTGGTGGGATCGACTTGATTTCTAAACCCAGCACACAATCGTTCAAAAGTAGATTATCCCTGTACGCAACGATTGTCTCCCATCTGATGTTCTGCAACTGCACGTCTATCTCCCTGCGAGGGTCGATGCGTGCCCCAGAGCCTGTGCCGTTCACTGCCGACCAAGCTCGCCACCGATCACGCACAGTTGCAGTGTTTGGCACTGGCAGGGGCACGCATGGGGAGTGCAGCTCAGCGCCGAAAACAACCGAAGACGAAGTCGTAGCGAAACATGTTCGCACTGCAATACTCTCGCACGCGGACAACACTGGGACGTGTAT